CATCCTAGCCCATGTTCGAGTCTCAACCGGATATGATCCATAGTTTTTTCTCGAAGAAAGGCAGAGAGCCCTCGGGACCGGTCGAATGGACCCAAGAACTATATGGATTGACCGCTGAGAATCTGGAGTCGGTCACCAGCTGACCCAAGCCAGACCCCCGTGAATGGGATGCCGGGCCCCCACTCGGACTAGCCCATTAACAGCTCACAGAGCACCATGATTCGTCCATAGAGGAAAATCATGGCACGGCTCAGCCCATCCATTTTTATTAGAAAAAAATGCTTGAGGGAAGACGATAATATAGACGAGCCAACCCTCGACCGGAGCCCTGCTACGTGCGGGGGCTCGAGGAAAGTGGGATTCATAAGGAGACCGAATACGCGGTCGCAGAACGACAGACCCCCATAGGAGTCGGAATCAGGAAAGACCTTTTTTGACCCACCAAATCTCACGGCTATACCCCGAGGGGTCCGATCACGATGAAAGGGAACCGCCGTTCTACCAGGACATGCAGCGGGCTATGAAAAGAAGGCTAAGGTCCTCAGAGTCCTCCCATCCGGAAAAGCCTTCAAAGGAGTATTCTACTCCTCCGCAGGCTCCGGCGCTACTGTCGGTTATCGATAGTAGGGATACCCAAGACAAGAGAGTTAGTGCTCATGCTGACTTCCTGGATAGAGCAAGACGTATTAACATGCCTCGCTCGACCTGTTGGGTCCATGCTCCGTCTCGCCCGACCCCAAGGACATAGTTTCCGTCTCGCCCAACCCCGAGGCCGTGGGGGTCTCGCCCGACCTCAAGGCCATGGGCTCCGTCTCGCCTGACCCCGAGGCCACGAGCTTCGTCTCGCCCGACCCTTGGGTGCGTACCCCGTCTCGCCCGACCCCAAGACCATGGGCTCCGTCTCGCTCGACCCTTGGGTGCATTCTACGTCTTGCCCGACCCCCAAGGGTCGCGGGCTCCATCTCGCCTGATCCCGAGGCCGCGGGGGTCTCGCCCAAGGCTGTGGGCTCCATCTCGCCCGACCCCGAGGCCGCGAGCTCCGTCTCGCCCGACCCCGAGGTCGTAGTTTCCATCTCGGTTGACTCTGAGGCCGTGGGGGTCTTGCCCAAGGCCGCAAGCTCTGTCTTGCCTGACCCCAAGGGTTGCGGGCTCTGTCTCGCTTGACGGGGACCCATATCACCGCCAACCAATCTAGGTCCAGGCGTATGGGCCTCGGTCAAAACTCTGACACCAGGGAAGAGACGGTCACGACTCGATGTAACTCAAGGCCATGACGGGCCATACCTGAGGATTCACATCAAGAACAGCGTCGGGCGTACCGGTGCTATTCTGCCCAACCCTCGTACGAACGCTGATAGGCGCGTTGGTTCACCACGACGTCTGCGCGGGACGGGATGAAATGCCATGACCGGCAGATGACGCTTGCGCATGGTGCTAGTGATGGACAGGGCCGCGACGTGGAGCCGTCGCTGTTGACATCTACATGATCGGCGGGACCCGCATGATGGAGAAGAAGGACCCGGCGATCCTGAAAACATTCTTCTCTCTCGTTCTTCGTCTTTTTCTCCGTTGTAATCCACGCTTTCTCTTCGCCTATAAAAGGGGAAGCAGGCAGCCCCATGAAGGGGGGTCAGATCCGCACAAGAGCACGACACGAGCACACGGCTGAGCAGCGATCGAACTCTCAGTACCCGTTCACTCCTTTCACTAGAGACTTGGGATCCTTTCCCTCTCTCGCCCGTTTGTAACCCCTACTGTAAACCAAGTGCCGGTAACATGAGCAACAGTAAACTGGACGTAGGGACGTTCCGCCCGAACCAGTATAAACCCTTGTGTCCTCCGAGCACACTATCCGAGTCAGACGTACAAATACAAATTTACTCGTCGGTGGTCCGAAAACACCGACACTTCTCTTCATACTTCTACTCAGATCAGAGGAAAGCAGTGTATTTTGGGAGTTTTGGGGGCTAATAACGCGTATAAATATTTACAGGGTCTCCAGTCACTTACTTGAACTAAAAAAATCTGTAATGTATTCTGTTTGGTCCATGTAAGTATGTATTGGGTCTGTATCCACTTACTACTTTTACTACAAACTCTGTAGACAAGTCTGTTTTGTGCATGTAAATGTGTGTAGAGTCTGTTATCAACAGTTTGATGTTTTTTTTTTTTTGGAAATCAACAGTTTGAGTTGAATGGTTAAGTCAATGCAAAGAAGAACCTTCAGTAGTCATATTGCAAATCGTTTTCTTATGCTCCAGAAATATCAATTAGCCATAGAATATAATACTTTGAGTGCGGATCCCAGGTTAATTTGCAAATCTTCTTGGCAAGACAAATCATAAACAAGCAGTTTGGTAAATTTTTAAGTCACTTCATACTTAGTCAAATCACGCGGCCCAGTAGCAGCCCAGAGGCCCGAGGTGCCTAGCCCAGCCCAGTCAAAGCCTCTCTATTACACACGGAAGCTTCAGTTGCAGTGGAGAGTGTAGGCAGTCAGTCACGGAAGCTCCAAGGACTGCCAGACTGCCGGAGGCGGCCCTCGCCGCCGCAAGCCGCCGCGCCACCATCTACTGGTCTGCCTCCGCTCGCGGTCCGCCGGTCAGCCTTATACGCTCATTGCTCGTCCGACATCTTTACCATTCTCCGCCTCCGCCCCCATTGTTTTGTGCGGATCCCCTAATTCCCTAACCCTAATGCAAGAACGCTTGCGCTGGGTTTCTAAGCACTGCTTGGTTCTTCCCAGTATTGAGATCTTGAATGAACTAGAGGCATTTAAACCTTGGTATTCTTACTTTACTGCTGTATAAAGGGTAGGGACTGGCCTCCATTTACCGTGCAGAGGAGTAAACAGTTTTTTATTTGATTTGATCTGGTTCTAGACTAATAGAATATTAAGGGCATCTTGTGGTGATTGTAGTTGATATTTTTTTGGATCAAACTACATTTGATCTGGAAAGCAATGCTTACTCCGCTCACAGGAGTAAACAGTTTTTTATTGTGTTAGCTTACCTTTTTATCCATTATTAAATTGTAGGAAAGTAATGCTTTTGCTATTTTTCTGTAATCGAATAGGCTCATATGATAACTGTGATGATAAAATACTATAAATCGTGTTAAGTTATTATACTGGTCTGGCTCTTTGAAATTATTGATCGAAGCGACATACTAAGACTTTATACTGCAAGAAGGCTAGACACACTCCTAAGCATTACTGCATTATCATAGCAAAACCCCAGCATTATCCATGTAATCCAACCATGGTTTTACACAACAAGAATCACACGTTTATTTTTGTGACTAGTATTATTTTGCATGTTCTGTTCAGCTGCATTCTTGTGCTTAGGATTGACATTTTAAGAAACGATATGCACTAGCCATTTTTCCTATAAAGTACCAGCTTTATTCTCTTCACTCCATCAAGTTCAATCCGCTAATGTGTTTGCTTGGGGTTCAAATTTGACACAGAGAAGTTGCTTTCGCCTGCAAGTTATGTCCAAGCTTCGAGATTGGGCAGGCCTCCCAGATGGCTTGCTGCACTCCATTGTTGAATTGTTGGGGTCCTTCCCTGACCTTCTTGCCTTTGCAGCACACCTGCCACCCCTGGCGCTCTGCCTTCTCATCTTACCCATGCAAATCTACCTTGTACACACTCTTTCCGCCTCTCCTCCTCAACCCAAATGTCTCTTTTTGCTCCCCTCGCCCTTTTCCAAATGTTGCCAGAAACACCTCTGTATCCAAACGCCCATGTTACGTCATTGATCTAAGCCAGCCAAGAAGATACATTACTTTGCTCTCAGATTCCTATGCTTTCTAGCGATTACGAAAATAACCATCCACCAAGTGCTTTGCATAAGTTTGCATTTAGGGGTGCTTCCTTTGGCCATGTGATCTTCTCCAACAACAAAACATGTTTTCTTTTTGACGTATTCACTGGTATTGAGGTTTCATCTCCACCACTGCCAGTTGTTGAAAACATTGAGCTCTACTACTATGGTGCTACCCTCACTGGTCCTCTAGCATCTCCCAACTCACATATCATTGTCTCCACTCAGTCCTCCAACTTCTTTTGGCGTGTTGGTAGTGACTCTTGGTCAAAATGCTCTCCTCGCAATGGGTCACTCATCGAATTTGTAGTCTGCAAGGGCCAAGTCTTTGGTTTGGGACTGTCATGTGTAATTTTTTAGTTTGGGCATGTAAAATTTTATGTATTATTCTATGTTGGGACCTTTATTGTATTGTGTAATATTTAAGTTTCGACTATTATGCCTTTTGAATGTACTTGTTAATATGTATTTGTATTTTCAAAAAAATCTTTGTTTTTGTAGGATGGCCGTCATGGAGCTTATCGACCCTGTTGTTGACCAGAGGCACCGCTCCAACTTGCAGGACGGGCAGCTTCCCGCAGCCCTACGTCTTCGTACCCACGACAAGTTGTGGTTACTTGACCACCGCTGGGTTCCACGGTTTGTTTAATTCGTACCTTATACGTTACAGCTGTACTTGTTACAATTATTTAATCTATAATTTTGTTCCCATTACAGTCTACGTGCTGCTGGTCTGCTTCCGTTTGCACGCCTGGTTGGGCGACACAGGCATATGAGTGCGCGTTTTCCAGTGGACCGTGCACTCCTCTGTGCTTGGGTGGACCGCTGGAGACCGGAGACGCACACGTTCCACCTCCAGTAGGTGAGATGACCGTCACCTTACTGGGACGTCGCCATGCTCTTGGTCTACCTCTCGGCGGTACCCGATCGGCCCGATTGTCGTCTTGGCCGGACCGGGACGAAAGCAACTCCTGCACCGCTTTTGACGGTGTGTTGCGGCCGGAGGGAGAAACTGGCGATTAGGCTTCCACGGATCGCCACGGGCCTCCAAAGGCTTGGTTGTCTCGATTCATGCGGAGAGGCTCACAGGCAGCGAGGACGACTTGAGGGTGCTGCGACACTTGAGGCGTACACGCTTTGGTTGTTTGGTTGGGTACTCTTCACGTTCCCACCATGACACCGTCGACAGCACGCCGTCCACTACTGGCGCAGATAAGCGTCACGCACCACTTGAGGCGATTCCCGATACGGTTGGGGTTCAAGAAGTGCTTGCGCCACGATCGGGCTTTGTGTGACGCTTGCACTCGGAGGACTTCGGCAGTACGTTGCTGGTTGTCCGTTGTTCTTGATGTTGTGGTCGTCGAGCGGTTCGACATTGGTAGTAGTCCGACCACGTCGTCACGCAGACGAATTTGTCGTGCCGGCGAGGTGTACGCTTTTGACCTATTTGGTGAGACCGACGAGCTCGATGCCCCAACGATGGGCACACACGGTTGTCCGTGGCGTAAGTACATCATCTTCATCTATTTGTTCATGCATGTGACTATTATGCTTTTAATTTTCATCAAATTTGTTGCTCTTTGCAGCCTAGGTGGGCAACGAGCACGGCGGGTAGGCACACGAACAATACGTGCGTCATTGCATTGGACCAGCTCACGAGATGATGTGGTGGTTCGGTGGACCCCATTACGCGGCGGTGACATACATGCCCGTGCTCGCGTGGGTTTTGTCGGAGTTGTGCTACCGAGACCAGGAGCTGTGGTGCACGAGGAAACGACTGGTGTTCGACATCTTCGTCGAGCCATATTGTCCAGAGCGGGTGGCACGTCAGTTTGGCCGTGCGCAGGTCTTTCCCCTTCCCCGACTTGAGTTTGACGGGTCCCACGGGTAAGTCTTGTTCCATTAACTGTTCCTCTATATGTTGTCATAGTGTTGTTTATTATTAATTGTATTGTAGGTATTCAAGGAAAGGTCAAGGTATAGCGTTCGAGCAATCGTGGGTGGATAGGATGGTGCTTTGGGTCAACGACTGGGCACAGGCTGCCGCCGATGTGCACGACCTTGGTGGGCCATTCGACGAGGGCACGTACCAAGAGTACTTGCATTGGTTCCACGGAGCCACACGCGTCCGTTGCTTCCCCGTGCCGGTAGAGGCCGCGCCGCACGAGGCCAAGATCACCGACACGTTCGTGATGGAGCCACCAGCTGCTTTCCATGCGCTGGTAAGCAAATTTCTTAACTACGTTGTCTATCCCTACTTTGCAAAGGAAGGGTAATACATGAGACAATACATGCCTGGCTTGCAGACAGATATCTGCAGTGACGTGGGCAACGAGCTGCTTTCGTATGCCCAGAGGTTCGAGCAGACCCCGCCAACGGTTGGTAGGCTTGAGTTGGTTGCCGCCCTTCGACGACTGGGGCAACGTTGCTAGGCGGGAGTTCGCCGGGCATCATGCCGCCCGACCACAGACGTAGTTGTTGACGTCCACCAGGGTGTGCCTCCACCTCCTCCACCACCTCCAGTCGTAGGATCTGGAGGATGTTCTGGTCCTTCCCAGCAGAGGGTTCCAGTCCTAGGTAACTCTATGATAACCTTCCTTATTTCTCATGTACTATGCATGTAGCATGCTCTATCTGACCTTGTATTTTTTAGGTACATGTGCTTCATGCAGTGACTACACGGAGGGTACTAGCAGCCTAGCCCATGCCATGTCGCAGCGCGACGGCGATGCCATTGCCGCCGCCGCGGCGGCGACGGATCCCTCCCCGGACCCGACACCGGCCTCGCCGGTGGTCAAGTGGCCCGAGGGCGGCGCGCTGACACGGGACTGGGTGGCGGGGCTTGCGTCCACGCTGGACTGGTGCTCACGGCACCTCCCCGCGGACTGCCTCCTGGAGGTGCTCCCGGCCGCGCTAGTCCAGCGCTTGGTCCTGGCCGCCGCCGCCATCCTGCACCGCGAGCCTAACCTCGTCCGCGTCAACCCGCGCCCCGGCCAGGCCGTCGTCGTCGTCGGGGACGTCCACGGCCAGCTCCACGACGTCATCTTCCTGCTCCGCGACGCCGGGTTCCCGTCCGAGGACCGCATCTTCGTCTTCAACGGCGACTACGTCGACCGCGGCGCCTGGGGCCTCGAGACCTTCCTGCTGCTACTCGCGTGGAAGGTGAATTCTGCTGCGGATCCTCCAACTCGTTGTTAAGCTTCATGCGTGTTTCGATTCCATTTTGTTTTGTTGGATCTGCTAGATTTATGGGCATAGATTGATACATAGCTAGGCAGTTAATAGATTTTCCATAGGTAGTGCAAACTGGCTCAGTTAACTAATAATGATGTCTCCCCTTTGGTTGGATTGGACTTATATATAACAATAGATACGACAGGTAATAGATTTTCCATAGGTAATGCAAGCTAGCTGAGTTGTTTTCATGGCAGTACTGACTCTAACGAATAATGATGTCTCCCCTTTGTTTGGATTGGACTTAATAGCAGTTATAAGTTTGCTCATTTTGCACAATATGCAACTAAATGATATCAACATAGAATTATGAGTCTTGATCCACACATTATTTATTTTTGGGAGTATTTGTTCTCATTTCCTCAGCATTCAATGGCTGAAATATCAATGATGTGATATATATTTAGACATTAGACTGTTATTAACTCACACAATCATATTTGGATTCCATTTTTGTTTTGTTGAATCTGCTAGATTTATGGACGTAGATGGATTGATAGCAAAGCCAGTTAATAGATTTTCCATTGGTAGTGCAAACTGGCTGAGTTAACGAATAATGATGTCTCCCCTTTGTTTGGATTGGACTTATATAACAATAGATAACAAGACAGTTAATAGATTTTCCATAGGTAATGCAAGCTAGCTGAGTTATTTTCATGGCAGTGCTGACTCTAACGAATAATGATGTATCCCCTTTGTTTGGATTGGACTTAATAGCAGTCATAAGTTTGCTCATTTTGCACAATATGCAACTAAATGAAATCAACATAGAATTATGAGTCTTGATCCACACATTATTTATTTTTGGGAGTACTGTTCTCGTTTCCTCAAACATTCAACGGCTGAAATATCAATGATGTGATATATATTTAGGCAGGTTGGTCGTTAACTCGCACAAGCATGCTTGTCCTCCTTTGGCATTCTAAAAGTGATCTATAAAAACTTTCGGTTCAACAATCAAACAGGTAACAACATAAATGGTTGCTAATTATTGGTTCTTGTTTTCTTTCGGGTGCTACTCCCGAATTGTGTGTTCCTTCTCCGAGAAACCACAAATCCAAACACCTTGCGCGTCAATTATATGGTTTCGAGAAGGAGGTAATGACTAAATACAAAGATCGGGGCCCTCAAGTTTATCGAAAGTTTTAAGATGCTTTGAGGATCTTCCTCTAGCGACAATAATAGCGAGAAGCGTGTACACCGCTTTTACGGAGGTGTCTTCCTGTCAAGGGCCTGGAGATCGTGGGTAGGCGGCCCATGGCTACGTAGATCGTGGCCGCCACCGTGTCTTCCGATCTGGAGGTTATACCCCTCACGGTGATCGGGCTTGAGAGTCTTTGGGAAGAGAGGGGTTTTAGGATAAGCGATCTCCCTCCTTTCAAATGTCCCTAGATCCATACATATAGCCTCTCGGGGTTTGTTGAAAAGGAAACTAACTAATCCTTGATTCTAGGGAAAGATAGCAAATCAAATCTTCCTTCTTTCTATCCTAGCCTTTGGATGTTCCCTGCGCATCGCAGCGTCTTAGCTCGGGCGTCGCGCTTCAAGCAGCTCATGATCCGCCTCACGTCGCGGATTCGCTGACGGTGGTAGTGGCTGTTACATGACATCTCTCGCCCCCTCGAGACCCAGCTCGTCCTCGAGCTGGAAATCTGGATATGAAGCGCGGAAGCGCCGAGGTCTTCCCGGGAGGTCAAGAAGAAGCGGGCTCGCGCGCGCGAAGACCAGGACACAGGTGACGCCACGTGCTAGGCGAGCTGAGTGACTCGGTCGGGGCTGGAAGCACCAGCGCCATCTTTGGATGTCCGGCGAGAGAGGAGGTGGGGTGGCGGTGGAGTGCCATGAACTTCTTGAGGGTCCCGGCGTGGAATACGTCGTGGATACGAGCTTGCGGAGGAGCTCAAAGCCGCACCGCGACCTCATTGATCTTCTCGATGACCCGGTAGGGCCCGTGTAGCGGGCCTTGACTTGCCCGACGTGGGTGCGGGGAGGGGCGTCGCTGGCGATGAAGAACGCGCAGCAAGGCCCAATCGCCAGCGGCGTAGGGCGACTGGCGATGATGGCGGTCGTGGTGCGACTTCGCACCGCTGGGCTTGCTCAAGCGATGGCGGACCTCGGCGAGAACTCCTCGCGCGCTCCTCCATGTCGCGGGCCCTGGCTGCGACCACGGGTCTCGCCGGCTCATACGGCGTATGGTCGGAGGGTCGCGGCCGTGAGACCACCGGAACGGCGTCTCCAAGCGGCAATCGGAAGGCCGTGTTGTAGACGTATTACGCCCATGGCGACCACCGAACCAGCGGCTTGGGCGAGCTCTCTGTGAAACAACGGAGATACATGACTATGACGCTGTTCGTTGCCTCGGTTTGGCCATCCGACCGGGGTGGAAGGCGGAGGTCATGTGCGACTTGGTGCCCATGAGTCTCATGAGCTCACGCCAAAAAAGCGGGACGTGAACACCGGGTCCCGGGCCGGAGACGATGGTGAGGCATCCCGTGGAGGCGGGGACGATGTTGGTGAAGAAGGCACGGGCCACGGACTCGGCGGTATACGGATGCCCGAAAGTGCGATGAAGTGGCGATACTTTGGCGGTCGACGACGGAGAGGATGACCGACTTCCGTCGACCTTAAGCGGCGCCTCGATGAAAATCGACCCTATGTCGGCCCGGACCATAGAGGGCACTTTGGGAGGGGCAGCAAGAGACCCGCGGCCGGAGATGCTCGGACTTGAATCGTTAGCACGTATGGCGCGATCCCCACGAAGTCCGGGCGATCGCGGCGCATGTTGAGAAGTGGAAGTCGCTGCGGCGGTGCGGTCAAATGTTGAACGCCTTCATGCCCATCGTCATGGATCGCAGCAACAATCTCCCGGCGAGCGGCGGCGATGTAGGCGGGATGTAGAGGCGCCCATCATAGAGGACCATGTCGCCACGACCGCCCATGGAGCGGTTACGGAGCCGCCAGCGCGCACCTCGTCGTGGATCGCGACCGAGCGGTCGACGGCACGTGTACTGGCGGAGACGGCTGATGTAGTCAAAACGCGGTGCCGAGATGGCGCGGAGACCGCCCATGCTGTCCTCCTCAGCATCGCGACGCGAGAGAGGCGTCCGCCACGACGTTGGTTGCCGGACTTGTACTCGACAATGAAGTCGAAGCCGAAAGCGGCTTGCCAACCCAATGGTCTTTGGGAATGGTGGCAAGGCGTTGATCCGGCAGAAACTTGAGGCTATGGTGGTCCATCTTGGCGAGGAAATAGCGGCCCCACGGATATGGCCTCGATTGCCGCATCTGCGAAAGCACGAGGCCAATGAGCTCCCGCTCATACGCCGCTAGGGAGCGGTGTCGTGGCGCCACCGGTTCCTTTGAAGAAGGCGATGGGATGGCCCCTCTGCAAAAGGGCGGCGCCGAAGCCGTATGTCGACAGCGTCGCACTCCACCACGAACAGTTTGGTAAAGTCCGGCAAAGCCAAGACCGGCGCCGAAGTTACTGTGGCCTTGAGTGCGTCGAACGCCTCCTCGGCGGCAGCCCCCCAAGTGAAGCCGTCCTTCTTCAAGAGCGCCGTGAGGGGCGCGGTGATGGAGCCGTAGTTGTGGGACGAACTTCCGATAGTAGCCCGCCAACCCAAAGGAAGCCCGGACCTTGCCACGCCATGAAGCGGGCCGAGGCCACTCGTGGATGGCTTGGACCTTCTTTGGGGTCCATGGCGACGCTTGCCATTCTTTGAAATGGTGTGGCCCAGATAAGCAGCAGCGTCCACACCAAAACAACACTTGGGCGCTTGATTTAACAAAGGCGGTCTTTGGCGAGGAGCTCAAGGCGATCGCGCAGTGGCGGAGGTGATCCGCCGGGAGGTACTATAGATCAAGATGTCATCGAAAAAAGACTAGGACGAACCGCGAAGAAGGTAAGCCGGAGGACGTCGTTCATCGATTACTGGAAGCGTGGCGGGCGTTACCGCACCCGACGGCATCACCGAGAAGTCGTAGAGGCCGTCGTGGGTGCGGAACGCCGTCTTGTGGATGTCCTCAGCGCGCATCCGCACCTGGTGGTAGCCCGAGCGCAAGTCGAGCTTGGTGAAGAAGCGCGCGCCGTGGAGCTCGTCGAGGAGCTCATCCACCACCGGGATAGGGAAGGCGTCCTTGACGGTCGGTAGCGTTGGGCGCTTGTAATCGACGCAAAATCTCCACGAGCCGTCGGCCTTGTGGACGAGGAGGGCCGGGGAGGAGAAAGGCGAATCGCTGCGACGAACGACGCCCTGCTCAATCATGGCGGCGCATTGGCGCTCCAGCTCATCTTTGTGTGCCGCGGGATAGCGGTAGGGCCGCACGGCGACGGGGGCCGAGCGGGTTTGAGGACGATGGCGTGGTCCCGCGTGCGGGCGTGGCAGCGAGCCGAAGGTGTGGCGAAGACGTCCTCATAGGCGGTCGAGGAGCTTCGTCAGAGCGCCCCATCGCCGCGCGCGCGATGGTGCGCAGTGGCGGCGGCGCGAGGGCGCACGCCGCCCACGTGATGGTGCGGCCGTCTTGGTGGAAGGACATCGCGCGATCCGCGAAGTTCCACGATGGGGACCGAGTGTGCCCATCCAGCAGGTGCCCAGCACAACCTCGTACCCTGCAAGAGGCATCACAAAGAGATCGGTGTGGAAAGCTGTGCCGTTGATGGAGAAGGCGTTCTAACGCGCAGGCGAAGCCGCGCTTCGCCGTTGGCGGCCGTGGCGGTCGGCGTGGCGGTCTGGATCGGCGAGCCGCTTCTGGCGCCGCGTCCTCGCCGATGAAACTATGCGTGGAACATTTGTCGAGCAAAAAGCGAGAGGAGCCGCCCACGGACACCGTGATCTGGATGGTGTCCGCGACAGGAACGCCAGCGACGGCATGGAGGGAGTAGCAGGGTGCTTCGGCTCCTGGTGCCTCCGTCGCGGCGTGAGCTGCCACCGAAGCGTCCACGGCGTCATCGACCTCCACCCCGTCGACGAAGAAGAAGCGTTTGCGAAGCGGTTATGCCCCGGTGTATGGTTCGTTGCGATTGAAGCGAAGGCCTTGGCGGCGCCGTTCGCCATCTCACCGGGGAAAGTCGACGTGGAGGTCCGCCGCGCGACCGCTTTGTCGTGCAGTGGCGCCGGGCGCCAGGTCATTGGGGGCCGTAGTAGCGCCCGGCCGTGGCCGGCGGCGAAGCGAACGCCATGTTGGGCGCCGAGAAGCGATGGCGGCGGCGGACGGAAGGCCTCCATCATCTCTACCTCACGCGCCGAGCTCATGGCTTCGACGAGGTGGCGGGTGGTCTGGCCGACGGCGTGGTCGAGCGGTGAGAGAAGGCCCCGGTGTAGAAATTGGGACGCGTTGCGACTCCTCGAGCCGGCCCGCGCGCGGAAGGAGAGCCTGAAATTGGTTGGAGTAGTCCGCCACGGTGCCCGTGCGCCGGCATTCGGCGAGCTCGAACATGGGCGCGGAACGGAGGGGAGGGCCGAACCGCAGGTTGAGGAGATCCTTGAAGTGGCTCCAGTTCGGCGTGCCGTCATCCGTCTGCAGCTGGATGAACCAGAGCTGCGCGACGTCGTCCAGATGGTACGACGCCATGAGCACGCGCTCGTCGACCGTGGTGCGATGTTGGCGGAAATAGGCCTCGCACTTATTGATGAAGAGCATCGGATCAGTGGTGCCGTCGAAGCGGGGAAAATCCCACTTCTTGTGTTTCGGGTGAAACTCCTGCTCGCGCGGCCCGAACTGACGGTGGCCATCGGCGCCCCCTGATCCGGACGACTCGGACTGTGCCTTCACGGAGGCCATGTCGGTCTTCAGCGCGGCAAGGTCGGCGGTCATGGCTTGCATCTGGGCAAGAAGATCAGCCAGCGTGGGTTCTGCCATGGCGACAGAAGTAGCGGTGGATGCGGATGGGGAGTGTGGTGGTGGCGGCTGGGCGTGGAGGGCAGATGGCTCGGCGGCGGTGGAAGGTGTAGCGGAGGATGATCGTCTGGGAGCCGATACCAGGTTGTCAAGGGCCTGGAGATCGTGGGTAGGCGGCCCACGGCTACGTAGATCGTAGCCGTCAGCCGTGTCTTCCGATCTGGAGGTTATACCCCTCACGGTGATCGGGCTTGAGAGTCTTTGGGGAAGAGAGGGAGGTTTTAGGATAACTGATCTCCCTCCTTTCAAATGTCCCTAGATCCATACATATAGCCTCTCGGGCTGTTGAAAAGGAAACTAACTAATCCTTGATTCTAGGGAACGATAGCAAATCAAATCTTCCTTCTTTCTATCCTAGCCACTGGATGTTCCCTGCGCATCGCGCGTGCTGGCCTGGGCGTCGCGCTCAGCGCGCTCCGCGGTCCGCCTCACGTCGCGGTTGCGCCTGCGACGGTGGTAGCTGTGGCCCCACATGACACTTCCGTGGAACGATTGTAGTGCCATCAAAGAGATCAAAAAAAAAAGAAAGAAGGGTCACAAATACAAGGCGGATTTTACTGTTGATGTCACAGCCATGAAACTTGGATCCTTGGATGAGTTATTGAAAGCAAGGAGAACTGTTCTTGACCCTCCTTCGGAAGGCTCAAATTTGATCCCTGGGGATGTGCTCTGGTCTGACCCTTCCTTGCAGATGGGTCTTTCACCGAATAAAGAACGAGGCATCGGTTTGCTTTGGGGTCCAGATATCACTCAACAGTTTCTGCGGACAAATCATTTGAAGGTTCGTTTTGTTTCGTTTATTACTCTTCCTGTTATATTTCAAATTGTTAAGAACAATCAATCATATGAAAAAATTGCAACGTATGAGAGCTCACTATTTCCAAATTCTATTTCATGTTGCAAATCTGATGGTGCCCACAAAGAAGGCGTTATAGGTTGATTTGTATGTGTATACCCCAGGCCTAGTCTGTGGTTAGTTGAGGATTATATAAAACTCCTTAGTAGCTTCAGGTGACAAGCATGCAGTAACATCCAGTGTTTCTCTTTTTGAAAATTGTTGTGTGGTATAGATGCCACCTAATATGTTGATGCAGTGAATGTGAGATATTACTTATTAACATACTTGAAGTGAGTTACATGATTCTAATTTCTTTTGTGTTAGTGTTCAATGATATGGCTTACTTAGTATCAATGGTTATCTTTGAACTCGGTCAGTTGGTAATGGTATGTTTTGTCCCGCAGCCCGTTGAGCATTTAGCTCTAATGCTCCATAATAATATTTGAAAGTTAGCATCATGGTAAAACTGTATTTGCTTTAAGTTCACATGCTTACTTCATCTTTTCATTAAACAAAGCTAATCATCAGGTCACATGAAGGTCCAGACGCAAGAGACAAGCGACACGATCTCGTAGGAATGGATAATGGATATACAATTGATCACGAAGTAGAATGTCGGAAACTAATTACTCTCTTCAGTGCACCAGACTACCCACAATTTCAGGTGATAATTTTTTGCTGTTCATCTTCGATATTGAATCCCTTCCTGGCTTTTTGCTGCAAGTTCTGTAAGAGATTTACTCATATATAAGTTCTGCCTTTTTTTTTGTATCCTTTGCATATTATGATGATAATATGGTGTTAACTCTTTGTTTCTGAACCTTGTATAGGCTTCAAAGGAGCGGCATAACAATCGTGGAGCATATATTGTCCTTAATCCACCAGATTTTGCTACCCCTGTTTTCCATAGCTTTGAAGCTGTAAAGCCTCGACCTGCGGTATGTGACTCAACCCTCAACAATGTACTCAGGAGTACTTGGTTCTGTGATGTGAGACTTGGAGTTATTATTTCTTAATATGGAAAACAATCAATCTGGAGTGGGGGAAACAAATCAACTGACTCGGAGTACCTTCTTTCTTTGTTTTCCTATATATGCAGGCCCATCCGTTCTATGATTTCGAAGAAGTGATCGACTCAGATGAATAGTTGAATTTGGACGCCATGGACAGTGGCACGTCGAGCCTGTCATGATAGCTTCTCATGTACCTTTTGTATTTATCACACCAATTGTTGCCAAGGAAGCGTGGCATCAAGGTTTTGTTGTAGCTAATGCCAACGTAGCAACGTTGCAGGTTTCTGGGTGGCCTCCTGTGTCCTGTCAAGCACGCCAATCTGATTTGTTGGTTCGGTTTAGGTTGATCTGTATCTAAAATTAAGTACCCAGAAACATGATATCCAAAGATTGAATGTGGGAAACCAGAGGTCGCTAAATCTTAATCTATAAACCTTCTTGTTGCTGAAAATGCTGATGCATTTGGTCATTCAGAGGAAGAGGAGGATATGCCCATGGCATCTCATGTTATCTGAAGAAGCGTCCGTGTATCTACTGCCTTTAGAGCATATATGTGATGCTTGTGTAAATAAAACACGCATGTTTGGCCAAAACCTAACTGTTGACGGCTAAAATTGTACGTTCTAGTAGCGGCAGAAACATGTTTCAGAGACTGCTTGCAGATTGATCGATCAGAAAAAGAGATTCGAGATGAAACATGCATGTTTCAGGCTTTCAGCTTTGCATTCAGTTCAATTCAACTACCACGGACACGCGTTGGTAATAAAATGACACGACTGGTCATCATCAGAGAGGGCAGGCAAGAGTTTATTGGCGTTTCAACTGCCCTCTACTCTGCATCTCTGAACCTGAATGTGGCGAGCAATTTCTACGTGTGATCTGGTTCTATCCTGAACGATAGTGGTGTGGGTGACCGCTGGCGCTGAGCAAACAGGGGCCGGCCTGTTGTTCCTTTGTTGCCAGTTCTAAGCACTCGCCTTTCCAAAGCAATCAAAAGACTGAGTTTAGATGGGTCGTTGGGCTTAGATGGGCTGCATATCGTGCGGCCGGCCTACTAACTGAGTTTTAGAAGCTGCCGTTGGATGGGAGCCGACGGTGGGGATGCCATGCCCTGACTGCACGCCGACGCCGCCCCCTCGTTCCCATCGAAGGCCTCCCAGACCGCCGCCGCCGCCGCAGCCGCGATGCCGACGGTGAGCGTCGGCCGGGACCGTCTCTTCGCCGCCCTCGGTCGGACCTACAGTAAGTTTGTTTTCCTTTGCTCGGTTCCTCCAGCTCTCCACTCCGCGACAACTCGTAACCCGTCCTCTTGGCAACAACACAGGAGGAGTTCGAGGCGCTCTGCTTCGAGTTCGGCATCGAGCTCGACGCCGTATCCCCTCCCATTCACTCACTGTGCTGAGAGTGGCGTTGTCTGAATTTTGAGTGTTTTGGGGTGCGTGTGCAGACGACGGAGAAGGCTATTATTATCAGGAAGGAGAAGCACCTCGAGGACGACGACGATGACGAGGTCATCTACAAGATAGAGGTTGCCGCCAACAGGTCAGCAGATTTTGTTTTCGTCAATGGAATCGAAGTTACTAGAATACTAGGTAGGTATACAGGAGTTTGGAAACCCGGTGAAAACTTGGAACAATGTATGCAGATATGATTTGCTATGTCTTGAAGGATTAGCAAGAGCTCTCCGCGTTTTCACGGGGACTGAAGCAAGCCCTGTATTCCAAGTTTCATCCATCCCTCGTGGTTCAATTCTTCAGATGCATGTTAAACCAGAGGTAAGATCATGTTCTCTGGAATTACAGTGCATTTCAAATAATTTCCTAGAAGAAAAAGCTAGATTTCTTCAGTTTTCCATCTCTAGGTTGTAGAGAAAATTGTACAGCAGCACTGTTTGGTGTATGTTATAACCTGCCAATGCTCTTGAACCAGTTGATTCTTTTTGGGTTTTTGGATTGGATATGGACTGTTATGTCTAAGGAGTAATAGAGAAATGATGTGTTTAACTGTCGTTTTTCAAGGAAAAAAAAAGAAGCAATACCCTACTGACATATTCCATGCCATTATTATTATTATTATTTTTTTGGTGCATGCTCTTTGTAATGTTTTATTATTGTCGTGAAAACCATTATAGCTTGAAGCTGGTGCTAAATGTTAAGACATTAACATATTCATGATTTTCATATTTGCCTGTTATTATTACTAATTCTAGAAGCTATGTATTAACGGATTAGTGCTGTATTTGCTAATGTTGATGCTGATCGTATTCTCCAGAATGATATTATTTGCGTTCTTATTTTCTTCCAATGTAAGCCTTGATTTGCTGTTTTTTTCAGACTTCAAAAATTAGACCATACGTAGTTTGTGCTGTCCTAAGAGGGGTAACTTTTGATGAAGCAAGATACAACAGCTTCATTGATCTTCAAGACAAACTCCACCAAACTATCTGCCGGTATAGCTTATCTTATTGCTTTTTGATTTTCATTGTATTGATATCAGGATTGTACTCAATACGATGATTAATTAACTCAGACTACTCCATGATGGATAACAGGAAGAGAACCCTCGTTGCTATTGGCACCCATGATCTGGACACTCTGCAAGGACCCTTCTCATACGAGGTAAAATTATCACAGTGCTGCAGTAAGCTAATTTTGTAGCTCAATCTTGGGTATTATCTTATTCGCCCTACGTTCATGGCAATCTCTGTCATGGACTTGCACACTGTTCCTATGTTTGTTCCATGGTTTTTTTGTGCATCCAGTTTTCCCCCTTTTAATGGGGCAAATGATTATGTCTCATGATATGTGCTTGCGGCCTTGCACTATCAAGGGAACTAACTGCAATTACTTTTACACCATCGTATGGAAAGATAAATGCAAGGACATGTTGGTGCCTGTTTGGTTGATTTTATTCTTTCTCCATTGTGGTGTAGAAGCTCCCTTCCACTGGTTTTGAATCTTATTTTTTGCGAAATTTGAGTTTGTCTAAAGTCATTTTGCAGATTAAACTTCGCCAAATGTGTTGCCTTCTTGAGGGAATTTTAGAGTAAATCTTGGACTGTAAAATGTGTTCTATGATCTTAGTCACAGAAAAGAGCCATCCTTTTTTTCACCAGTCACAGTTAACATGATCCCTTATGGTCATACAAGGTCTCTCAAAAGCCTAAATCAATATAATCTTATTTTGTTTTGCTGCCTTCTTCTTTTGAAAGGAAATACAGCAGGGGAGGCTCCTACTGCAAATTTTATTAAAATAACAGAGGCACAGATATACTGAACAAAAGTACAAAGCTAAAAACGAGAACAAATGGAGAAGGGAACTAAACAAGCTCCTCTCAGGGGAGGACAGGGAAGAGAGTTAGGAAAGTGACTGGATCCAGTTTAGGAAGTCGTCATTTAGTCTATGAGATTGGAGTCTTGCTTCATCCACGAAGTCCTTGTTTTGCTGCCTTGTTGGGGCAGATTGCTCATCGGGGAGTGGATCAGTGACATAGTGCCCCACTGAATTTGTTTACATTGGGGCTTCAGGAAGCATTTATGGCCATAAAATCTTGAGTTTTAGTGACACTAGACAAAAACATGTATTTTCCTCGAATTTTAATCAAAAGTCGGCTTCAAGCCCTTTTTGTATGGATAATAGAAAACTCATCTTGGCCAGCTTACCATGACGACAATTTGGAGGAAGCTTAATCCCTATGCTTTCAAGTTTATATTTGTTCAGAATGCATGACAGCATGTATACATGAAAGTATTAACTAGTTTTTCACATAAAAGTGATAAGAAATTGTTATTTTAATAACCTTTTGACTAGGAAAATTAATAACCATTGGTGTATACTGCAGTCTGAATATCCAAACCAACTATTATAAAGAAACTATTATTTAGCTTTTAGCATGGAGGAACCTTCAAGAGTTTTAACTTAAGATTTGTGGCATTATAATAATTTATTTATGTTGGTCAATATTTTTGGCGGAGAAGATAGATTTCTTAGGAATTGGTTGACTATGTTATATTTCGTACCATGCATATATGAACAAGCCTCTTAAATATAACATTTTTTGTTTTTAACCAAAGATATAACCATTGCTGACATGTGGCTATATAAATACCACTGGTGGTTTCTCTCATCCTTTATATCTGACATTTGATTTTTTTTTTCTCTCCCTAGGCTCTACCACCACATGAAATCAGCTGTCCCATTAAAGCAGGTAAAAGTAATTGATTTAGTTCAATCAGATGATTTTATGTTATATTACTTGTTGTTTTCTGATCATCATTACAATTTTTAGTAAGTTGCTGAAAGGCAACATTTTTGAACTCACTGTTCTAACTTTTGTATGACTCAGGAGAAAAGCTTCAGAGCTGATAAACTGATGGAATTCTATAAAGTAAGTAGCTACATCAGAGTGTTTATTGTGTCATTGTGCACAAAATTGGGCCATGTATCAGGATGGAAACTGTTATTTTTCAAATTTTACGCTTAATATCGTAGGTTCTAGATCTTAATACTATTCTTTTAGGTGCTCTGTGCCTTGTATATTTTTATTACTGACATCTCTTGCTTTGTGGCAGTCAGACATGAAACTGAAGAAGTTCTTGCATATAATTGAAAATTCTCCAGTGTACCCAGTTATCTATGATAGCAACAGGTAAAATAATGACATGCTCTTATCATTCCATTTCTTGACCTCTTTCTTTCAAGGCCTATGATCTTTTCGAAAAAGACTAATAATTACTAGAGAGGACAACAATAATTAAATAGAAAGATTCTGTTGGCACAGCTCTCTGGAAATTTGTCTATCTAGTTAAACTTCAAAAAACATTGTTCATTTTTCAAGGAAAAGCTATTCTCTTAAATATATTCATTTTATTGATAAAGTGGCCCATGTTCCGTCATGAGTGCCATGCTTTCTTTAACTTTTATGATATAGAAACTGTTAATACCGGTGTCGCTGCACAGCTGACATTGCAATACTTTGCAGGACTGTATTATCATTACCTCCTATCATCAATGGTGCACATTCAGCTATCACCCTTGCAGCAAGGAATGTCTTTATTGAATGTACAGCTACTGACCTTACCAAAGCAAATATAGTGCTGAATACAATGGTGGGTGATGTTATGCTGTATTTTAGATGGGAACATGTCCTCTAGTTTAAGAAGTTGAAACTTATTGTATATGCACTTGTTACTTATATTTCTAGGTTACCATGTTCTCTAAGTATTGTGAGACTAAATTTGAAGTGGAACCTGTTGAAGTGGTACATCATGATGGCAGGAAAACAGTTTACCCTGATCTTTCATGTTACAAAATGGATGTTTCATTATCTGACATTCTTGGGCCTATTGGTATCTCCCAGGACGATAAACAGGTACCTGCAAGTTTCTGAAAGTTTTAGCAAGGATGTTTTCAATCTTGATTAATTACAGTGCATCTGAAACTTAGGTTGTCTGTCTTTTGAATAAAATGCAACTGCAAGCTGAAAGTCACTCATTGAAGGGGGAGCCTCGCATTTCAGTGTCTGTTCCTCCAACAAGAAGTGATATTCTGCATGCCCATGATTTGTCGGAGGTATATCTGCTATTATCTAGCTATTTCAACTGTTTTTGTAGGTTTGCTGTCATTGTTAACTGGTTTAATTTCTGTTTGGCTTCTACAAAGGACGTTGCTATAGCTTATGGATTCAACAATGTGCCAAAATCAAAGCCGAAGTGCATGACAATAGGAGGAAGGCAGCCATTAAACAGGTTCTCAGATAAAATTCGTGCCGAGGTACTTTAGGTATTTGATATGTCTTTTGTGGCATCTTGCTGATATTTGACGTCTTTGTGTTTTTATCTGTTCATCAGTTGATCTTTACTGAAAAATCCTTTGTGGCCAGGTTGCAAGAGCTGGTTATATGGAGGTGCTCACATTTATCTTGTCTGCACACGAAGAAAACTTTGACATGTTAAACAGAGCAGAGGACAAAAGTAAGGCAGTCATTATCACAAACCCTCGCACTTCTGAATTCGAGGTAAATTTCCCCCCGTCACCCACCCCAGTGCTGGGTGCAGCCATCAGTCAGCTCTCCTATGTGCTCTCACTTGACTTTAGTGCAACGAATAGTGTAAATTTTTGGTTGATTGATGCCTTTCTTGCAAAACGATTCCTCACCACCTGCCCCCAATCCGTCCACTTCCTCCTGGTCACCCACAACCACAACACCCCACCTGTCCTCTCTAGCATCGTGGCACATAGCGATGAGTCAGAGGCGCCTGCTGCTACGCCCCCTTCCTCCTCCTGACTCCGACTGCCTTCTCCTGCCTGTGGCCCGCGCCTTCTCTCACATATGTAGAGCTGTTGATAGGCGGCTGACTAGGGAGATGAGGTTGCCCTCCGAGCTGCAGCGACGGTTGGCGACCTCCTCCCCAGTCCCCGAGGACCAAGCCAGTGATCACGTCTAGCTGCCGCTGGCCGAGGCAGCCACCTGATGTCAAACCTAGCTGACAGCAACGGCTCCTCCCTGCTGTCGGCTGATTTTTTCTGCTTCATCCTTTGTTGATCTGTGTTTCATCATGCTCATTTGTGTTCACTTACAAAAATCTACCATTATATTACATAGGTGATTTTGTGATTTATTTTTCGATATGTATTGCTAGCTTGGTTAGTTCAGTCATGTCCGAGACCAAATTTGCTTCATCTTGATAATTTTTAGGAACCAATCAGTACTCAGTTTTTGATACTTGAAGTTTGAGGAAAACCGATGAACCCCATTGATTTGATGTGACCGAATGTCCACCTACTGACAACTTATGTTTTCTCTCTATATTTGATTGCCAAGGAAATAAACATTGTTCTACAATGTCATTCATTTGCTATAATCATTCTTTTACTTGTTATATTGTTGGTTTGTTATAATCATTTTTTCCTTGTTACCTTGCAGGTTGTTAGAACTAGTCTGATGTCGTGTTTATTGAAAACACTGAAACATAATATAGACCATCCAGACCTATAAAGGTACTTTTTGAAAAGGAGCAATATTTATATTTGCTATATAAGTGATAAGGATATTGTCTATGGAATGTTGTGTCACACATAAAATGCCAACTAAATAAAGAAGAAACCAGGGAAAAAAACTTCAAATTTCTCTTGCTGTCAGCATTCAGCAGTGCCATTTTGCCTGTTGTTTTCGTTTCCCTTCCAACTTAATTGTGATTGCATGATAATACTCTCCTTCAAACACTACATTTCAACCATAGTATAAGCCCATTTAGGATTTCTTGATCAAACCTTTTAAACATAGACAATGAATATCTAAAAAATCAAGTAGATTGGTAACATAAGTTTTATGTTGCTAGATTAGTTAAAAAAATACTTTTATAATATATAGCTCTTTCTATTTGGAACAACATGTTATTTAGAATATTACCTGTCAAAGTGTCACTGGAGACCATGTGTCAATGTTCTAATGGATTTTGGGTTTAGAGAAAGACAGAAAGTACTATCTAGTCCTTCATTTTTACCAATGTCGACTTTAATTTATCAATACATACAATTTTAAATGAAGAGCTTTAATACAGCTTCTAGTGTTTTTATATGCCCAAACAGTTACTGTTGTCATGGTTACAATCTTCCTTCTAGATGGAAATGTTCCCATGATTTTGATCTTTCAAATATTTACCATTGTAGATTTTTGAAGTTGATGACGTTGTGATGCTGGACTCGTCGCGTGATGTTGGTGCCTCTAATAATCGCAGGCTTGCAGCTTTGTACTGCAATAGGGTTTCTGGATTTGAGGTATAAGCTTTAAGGAAAAAAAAACATCTGTATAGGCATGTATTTACATAGCTTCTATGTAGGCCTATGCTAACTTGATTAAATTGTCCAGGAAATTATGGGATTGGTGGATAGTATTGTCAAAGTTGTCAGAGCTCCGCATGTCAACTTTGGCAAGAATTACTATGTACCTACAGATGTAAGAGTAACTTCATAAATTGTCTTGTCTTTTGCTGTTGTCAGCATTTATATACTCATTTCATTTCTTCAGGAACCTGAGTTCTTCCTGAAAAGACAATGTAAAATTGTTACAAGTGATGGCAAGCAAGTTGGCTACTTAGGAATTGTCCATGCTGAGGTACTTACTCTGCCTCGCTTTCGAATGCTGTTATAACCTGTGCTGCTTAAGTACCAGTAGTTTAGCCGCCATATGAATGAAGATTTCTGAGGATGAAATGAATAAAGCTAGCACCATAATATTATATATTTCTTTTTGTTAGGTAGCACAATCTTATACGCTTGAATTATGAGCTACTCCAATTCCATAGTTGATCTATACTAAGAGTAAGAGATGTACTGGCAGAAATAAGAACTTAGGAACACAAGTGATATTAAATGAATAAGAAAATCATAACATGGATACACGTGATTTGTTTTGCCAAATTTATAGCAAAACTATTCCTTGAGTGCTAGTCATACTCTGCTTGCAGGTGCTAAGGAAATTTGGCACTTCCGGACCCCTGCGCTTTGGTTGAGATGGACCTCGAAGCACTGTTGTAATGCCGTCAACCTGAAACAAAGGAATGCTTGAAGCTGATACCCCTACCACATATCCGTTTTGTTCAGTAAAAATGCATGGGGTACACCAGCAAGAAGTGCATATTACCCAAGCTGGAATGTCTCATTGAGCTTCTCAATTGCATTGGATTTTGCTATGGGAAAGAAGGTACAACGATACGGCACATACCCTGGCTAAAATTTGTGAGGGACTATTTTCACTATGTTTCCATTGTAAGAGCTTCATTCCTATCCAACTTTGTATCAAAAGTGTACCTTTTGTAAACCATCGGGTGTCCAAACGTTACTTGTGCAACTCTTGGCACCTCTACATCAGATCAGCATGATGTAAAGCAGCCTCAGAATATTAGACTTGTAATACCTCCTTGTTGAAACACATTGGACAAGGTTCGCATGAAAACCATCTCGTGTGATCGTGAATGACACTAAAATTTGCGGCCAACTAAAATTTGATATTGTGTGTTTACATTGCAACTTTTCACGAATCCATGAGTCCATGGCATTTCATCTGCCCTTTACTCTGAAACCAAGCCTGTCAGGATGTGACGAGCATTTCTGTTTGTGGCACTGACTCTGAATTGTGCGATCGAATCCTCAACGACAGTGCTGGGTGACTGACTACAGAGCAACTCAGTCATGATACAATGTTTTTCTCTCACGTAGTACAACAAAACAGTATCAGCCGTAGAAACCATGAGCCGAATAGGCCCGATAGGGTTTGCTGGGTATCGTTTTCAGCTGGAGCACTCACGTTTCCAAGGCGACCGTGTATACCGTCCCCAAAATTAGGACATTGTCCATGCATGTGCAGCGCATTGATAAGTGGGTAGCTCGAATGCTCGATCAACGACGTGCGCTTTTTAATCAGTCAGCTCATCACAGCAATTGAGGGCTGTGATTCCAGGCGCATGTGAGGTTGGGGGTATAACTACTAGCTAGACCAGGCTAGAGTTGCGGTGGGCGTAGCATGGCCGTGGCCATGGCATACGTATGTATTGTTGGCCTCTGCATGTCGTATGTATTGTTGGCTTGTTGCCTAGCCTTCTTCCATGGGACTGGGATGGATGGGGCTGCTCCGGCCGGCGTGCAGAGACTGAGAGAGTGGGGACGGAGCTGGGAGCGAATCGGGTGGATCGCAGCCAGCTCAGGCCTAACATGCATGTAACGCCGCATTCAATTTCGTATGTATTGTTAGCCTGGACGCTTGGTAATGTGTACTGGAAGATGACAACAGTAACACTGATCGAGCACAGTTAAAAGCAATAGCACAAATATTTATCCCAGCTAGGCCCCCTTTGGAAAGAAGGATTCATGGAGGATAGTGTTTTTTTCGGTTGATAAGCCGACTGATGCTGTTTCGTTGTGAGAGAAAAATACTATATCATGGCTGATAAGTTCAAGCGAACAGGGCTGGCCTGTGGAACAAAGGATTAGTTATTGAACTCCTACAAAATTCCTATGGAATGACCGAATCCAGAGAAAATTTGGAGGAAATCTAACATGAGGCCCAACAACCCATTGGAAACTTTCATCTGTGTCTGTCTCTCTCTCTCTTCTAATTCCTGAGTTTCGCCGGTGATGAAGGAGAGATGGCTTTTCCTCTCTTCCAGAACCGCCGCTTTCAAGCCTTGCCTAAGAAGCGAGCGCCGATCGACGACGACGGTGCGGCGGCTGGAGCTGGCGCCTTCGCCGGCGATGAAGGAGAGATGGCTCCTCCCTCTCTTCCAGAAGATTTTTTTAAATAATATTTTTTAATGATTAACTGCAAATGTAGAAGCTGTTACACAAAAATTGGAGGTATAGCATCCAGTCGGCAGGTGAGCGGCCGATAGGAGAGATGTTAGCAACACAGAAGCCAACAGGACCATTTTTTTAAAAATAAATATTTTAATTGAATAATTGCAAATGTAGAAGCTGTTATAAAAAATAGCAAATATAGTATCCTGTAGGCCTCTGGAAGGCCGATAGGCTCCGTGGCAACGACACGGCAGAGGACCCACGCCGGTTGCAGACCAGTCGGCTTCCCAGCGACCGATAGGTCGTTCAGGAGCCACGGGCACCCGCAAATACGTGCAGTTTTAATTTGTTGGCCTGGCCCTGGCGCTCCGCCGATGTGGGGGTCCCGGGGGAATCGCCTCCCTATCCCTGCGTACGTCGCCGCATTCAATTTTGTGCAGGCATAGGTAGTTGGCCGGAGAGAGCTCTACGTACTAGGCTTTGGTTATTGCCGTGGCTGCAGCCAGGATGTCAGCAGGCAACAACAGGTCACAGGCGATCAAGTGGTTGGGGTGCTGATGAGTGGATTACGCTTAGTTGTGTTTTGTGTTATCATGCTTTTGCTTCCTTTTAAATTTCAGTTGATTCACAATTTTTTTTGTTAAGCTTTGTTAGGCTCAGCCCATCATGCCAAACTGAGCTTGCTTCTTCCAGTATTATTGTCATTGATGAATTTTTCTGATTATATGGTTTACTCTGTAATATATGTGTTTATCATCATACTATAGTGTTTGTTGTTGATAGGTTAGAAATCATCTTTTTCTGTTTTGCTTTTGTAGTAGTGTGTTTTTAATTGTCCTTTTGTAGTCTTTCTCCTTATATAAGCTGTAATGTATGTGTATCGATATCTTTTTCTTTTGTGTGTTAGATGTTTCTTTCTAGTTTTTTTGGATTGGTCTACTTAGCTGCTGTCTTAGTTTTTTTGTTTATGACAGTGTCCTTTGTTGTTTGGATTGGTTTTATTTAGTTATTTGCTTTATGTGTTCCCTGGACTATTTGTTTTTAGAAATTCTATTTTTTGATATGTTTGTCTCGTGCAGTTCCCTCAGACTTTTTGTGATTTTTCCTTTCATAGAAAATTTTTGGTTTTTGTTTTTTGAAATTCTGTTGTTTGGTACGTTGATATTTGAGTTGTACAGATTTTCGGGCATTGGCTGAGATGGTGGCATTTTTTTAGAATCTAAGGTACTTCTCTACTCCTAAATTTATCCCATTTTTGTGTTCTGAACTCCTAACATTATTCCAATTTAGGTTAGATTTTTGTTTATCCAGTTGTCTTTTCTTCTATGTTTTTTTGTTATATTCCAGATTTTGGGCTACTGCTCTAGCTCTAAATAATGGTTTCCTGGTTATAGGTATCTTAGTTATAGTGTAATTCAACTTCACTTACAGTTGTTCATCAGGTCGGGCGAGGTGGAGCCCGCGGCCTCGGGGTCGGGCAAGGCAGAGTCCTCCCCCAGAGGCCGGGCGAGGCGGAGCCCGCGGCCTCGGGGTCGGGCGAGGCGGAGTGCAGACCTAAGGGTCGGGTGAGGTGGAGCGCAGACCCAAGGGTCGGGCAAGGCGGAGCCCGCGGCCTCGGGGTTGGGCGAGGTGGAGTCCTCCCCTAGAGGGCGGCCGAGGCAGAGCACAGACCCAAGGGTCGGGCGAGGCGGAGCCCGCGGCCTCGAGGTCGGACGAGGCGGAGCGCAGACCCAAGGGTCGGGCGAGGCGGAGCTTGCGCACCTGGGGGTCGGTTGGAGCCGTAGTCGCGCTCTTGACTGCTCGGACGTATCAATGTTGATGGTTATTAGCTCATCCTCTTCGGATACCTTTGTATTGGTCCCCGACAATATTTAAGACAAAAATATGGTTCAACAGTGCATCATGGCCATCTTTTCCGATGGAGGTACATCTGCATGCAAGGGATGGCTGGTCATGTTTTAGAGACTGTCGGCCAGTGGAGAGCCGATAGGACAATCACCCTGATAGCAGCCACGGTACAGTCATATCCAGCCAAGAGCAGCCACGGTACAGTCTGGAACGCTGATAGAGGCATGTTGGCTCTCGAGTGGTCTATATGGTCTCTGTCGGCCATCCAGACACAGCCAGAGTACTATATCTACAATTCTTTCCAGACAAATACTAGATTAGCAATTAATCATTAAAAAATATTATTTAAAAAAAATCACGGCGGTGCCTGGACGCGGGTCTCGTCTGGGTCCGGCTCAGGGGCCCATGCCGTAGTCTCGTTCTTCCCGCACCACGAGTTCGCCCAGATCACCGATGACGACGACGACGGGGACGGCGACGGGGACGAGGACGACTCGGACTCCCCGCTCCTGCACCCAACACCGCTCGTTCCGGTTCACGCCCGTGTCCATCGTGCACCACATTCGAGGCACTGGTCGGCTTCATGTGGAGCGGGCGCTGGGGATACGCCCGTTGCGGCGGAGCAAGCTGCTGTTCGTGGTGGATGGGCGGCCGCGGTTCCGCTCCCCGCGGGGTACTTTGCCAATGCCCAACACTATCGTGCTGACCAGCACCGCGTGCCCTGCGGGGGAGCTGGCGTCGTCTCTAGCTCTCTACCGCGCGCCGTGCGGTTGGTGCGCGGCACCGCGGGGGCCGTGACGGACGCCTACATGCGGTCCGCGTTGGACTATTTCGAGACGAATCCGCATGCTTGCATGGATACGGCAGTGCTGCGTGTTATGGATTTGTGTTTCTTTTTCGAAAACTAGTTTGTGTTGAGTTGATGGCACCTATGTTCCAGTGAACTCCTCCTTGTTAAAGATTATACAATATTGCTAATGTGCTACCAAAATTTTGAATATTTTTTCAATATTAAATCTCAATCAAAATAATTGCAAGTTGTGCCAAATATATTTGACCAAATGTAATCATTTTTGTCAACATTGCAATATAAATGTCTAATTCCAAATCAGGGGTAAAATCACAAATAGACATAACAAACGGGGGCAAAATCATATGGGCATTTCTGTCATTTTGTACGAATGTTAACACCGTTAGGTGAGGATGACGGAATAGGGGCAAAGTAGTACTTCGTTTTGAAAACGCAGGGACAAATTCACAAAGAAAAAAAAAACAGGGACATAATCACAATTTCGATACAAAACGGGGTAAAATGTAAGAGCCCCTATAATATTATTTAATATTTAATTATTATTTAATATTTATGCAGCAA